CAACAGAGCCAGGCTCTCTGCTTAGAGCAAAAACTCTTCCTGGTTAAGAAAGAAGCATAGATAGATGCCTGGGAAGCAGGGGGCACAGATCCAGTATTACTACCAAGGACCAAGCTTAGTTACCCTGACTCAGTGAATCTTTGATAGCCACCACATCACCCACAATATCAAGAACTCCAAAATAATATTATAAGCTTTAGTTCTAGACTAGGAGCTCTAATGGACTGAGAGAAGACAATGGCTAAATTGCCTCAACAGCAAGGAATAAGCACGAGATGGGAGATGAAAAGGCATAAAATAAGTCTAGAGAGCCTGTATTCCAAAACACACAAAGAAATCTATGCTAAAAAATATACACATCGAAATAATGACCGTAACATTTCACATTATATTGTATATAGCAATCTGATGAAAAATTTACAATATATTTATGATATTCAATAACATAAATGAAAGAATAACATCCATTCAAAAAGAATAAGAAATAATGAAACAAAAATTGGTGCCAATAAAACAAAAACATATAGAATAAACATAAATAAAAATTTTAGAAATGAAAAATACAGTCACTTAAATTAATTCTAAATTTTAACTAATTAAACTAGGTAAAATTAATCAATTACATTTAAAGCTAAATTATTGGAAAACTGCAATAGATAGGATAAATTCTGCACCGATAATGGTTAATGAGAATTACTAGTAAACTTGAAGATAAAAATAAAAAACCAAACCCATTGCCATTGAGTCGATTCTGACTCGTAACGACCCCAATAGGACAGAGTAGAACTGCCTCATAGGGTTTCCAAGGAGCGCCTGGTGGATTCCAACTGCCAACGTTTTGGTTAGCAGCTGTAGCTCTTAAACACTACTCCACTGGGGTTTCCAAACTGGAAGATAATACTGAGCAATTACCTCATAATTAGGCACAATGGTACGGTTCAGAGACATGGAAGTGAGAGAGGCTCTAAGGAGGCTTAAGAGTTCAAGAAAAAGAGAATAGAAGGAATGACAGGTGCAATATTTGAACAGGTGATTATTGAGAATTTCCAAGATTTGGAGAATAACATGAATCCATAGATTAGCAGAGACTTCCTGACATGAATCCACAGATTGGCACAGAATTCCAAGTACCAAGTAGGAAAATTTAAAAATAAGACCATGCCTAGATATATTATGGTGAAACAGAAGATTATCAAAGCATAAATAAAAAGCTTAAAATGTATCAGAAAGAAAAAGCATAGTATGTGCAAAGGAATGACAATTAGATGGACAGCATTATTTTCTTCTGCAATATTTGGTACAAAAAGACAATGAACCAATATCTTCAAAGTGTTGAGATAGACACTGTCTACTTAGAATTTTATAGCCAGCTAAACATCAAGAGTAAAGCTAAAATAAAGACATTTTCTAATATACAAAATCTGAAAGAATCAATACCATAACACTAACTTGAAGAACTATTCATAGATGTGTTTCAGCAAGAAGAAAGGTGAATCCAGAAAGAAGGCATAAGATACAATTAAAAAAAAAATCAGGTAATGTGGTATATGACAAAGGATGCATTACAAATTAGTGGAAGAATATGGAAAAAGAACCTATGAAATAGGCAAAAGAATCAAACAAGCAATTCTCAGAAGAGGGGAGATGAAAGGCTAATAACATGTGAAAAGATAATCACCCTCCTTCATGATATACATTTTCTAGCAACTTCATTTCTCTGTCCCATCCAGCGTCGTTCCTAAGACAAGAATGGAAAGTACAAGAGGCAGATTGCAGGCAAAGGAATAATGAATTAGATCAGGATTTAACCTTGTCATTACTGAACAACACAGCTCTGGTTTATGCCACATCACTTAATTTCTAAAAAGAAAAGTAGTGAGGGAGGTAATTTGAGAGACAGTAAAATATTTTTAGAATATGCATTTGAGTTCTACTGAAAAGAGTATTTCTGGAATCAAATATACTGCCATAAGGCTTCGGCATAGACTCTTGGATTTGCAACTGGCCTGGGTCATTTGAGGCTGAAGGAAATACATAAAACAAACATGTAAGTATACATTTAAAAAATTCTCTTAGTTTAAAATTTAAGTACTTTCCAGCAGCCAAAAAAAAAAAAATCAGAAAATAAATTATCTGTGCTCTAATCCTCATGTGCCTCTTGAATTTCAAAGTCTGACATGGCTTTGATGTGCAGACTTTATGCCCCAGGGTATGAAAGACTGTGTGGACCTCTAACTTCTCTTTTCAGTACACAGAACCCTGGTGAGCATGTGAAACAGGACTACAGCAGTGGAAAAGTCACTGCTGTGTGGCTGCCTTGTTGTTAGCTTTCATTTTCGTTCTCTTAGATCCAAAGTCAGTAGTCGAATTAGGTAGACTCCACGGGTTAGTAATGAGGCTGTGTTGAAAGAAAGAACTGCAAATAGTTCAAAACTTCTTTGGGATTAATAAAAGAGAAATAATCAAAGTCTCAGGGGTTTTGTTTGTTTGTTTACCTGTAACATAAGTGAGTTCACTCTATAAGTGTTACCTGTAAATAGAAAGACCAGAGATGAGACAAAGATAGAATAGAAACTTTTAACCAGAGAACAGAGCACATAGTCTACAGAGACATGATCACAGTTTATGCTGCAATCTGAACGCCTTCTTATTTCATAGATGTTGGCTTGGTTTTTGAGAAAATTCTAGGAAAAATCAAAGCTTTAACATGTAGCATCAATCCTCTCTGTATCTCTACAGTCAAAAGTAAGAATAGATGAGACCCTTAAAAGCTAGCAAGCTGCCATCCAAGGTACAGCAATAGGTCTGCATTCACCTGGAGCAGCAGAGGAAGAATCAGGAATTGGAGGAGGAAACAGATTGAGTGCCTGGTTACCTGCGTGAATAACTGCCTCCTTTGCCATGAGACCAGAACTTGACGGTGCCCGGCTACCATTACTGAAAGTTTTGATCAAGGATTCTATAGAAGAATCCTGATGGAGGGGTGGGGGGAGGGTGCAGAACAGAATTAAAAGTTCTCATGGAATCCAGACTTTCTGGAACCCTGGAGGCTGTATGAACCCCCAAACTATTGCCCCGATATAATTTTTAAACCTTAAGCCAAAAATATCCATGAAGCCTTCTATAAACCAAACAATAGTTTAGCTTAATTAGTAAAGAATGCTTGCCTTGAGCATTGTGCTCTTTTAAAGAATTATCTATATGAGACCAAACTGACAACAGCAACTCAAAAAGTTAGAAAGTTTAGGGGGCAGTGAGTTTATGCTAGTGGGGGAAGAAAAATTCCCAAAAGGAGGGTGAGAATGTTTACACAACTTGAAGAATGTAATCAATGTCACTGAGTTGTTCATGTAGAAATTGTTGAAATATTGTATGACTGTGTATTTTCACCAAAAAAAAAAAAAAAAGAATAGGTAAGACCCTGAGGGATAAAATGAAGTATATTTGGCTATGGATTGAGACAAAGTAGATAATCAATAATTATTTGTCAAATGAACAAAGTCAAAATTTTATTTCTTAAGTTATTGAAACTGAAATTTTAGAAGTGTAAAACTTAACCTAAGCCTTTTGCTTTAGTTTAGGCTATAGATGATGTCCAAGAATGCTTTCAATTCTAAAACTTTAAATCAAAGTTATTTTTTCTATAGCACAATAGTTGACTCCAAACCAGCCTATTTAAAAGATTTTCTGGAATAAGATTAATGTAAGTGAAATTTATTCAATAGGTCCTTCAGAAGCGGGGAAGGGCTATGCCTTTTTACAAAAATTTTGCTGGAGGTTGGGACATGGAGAAGATGCAGACATATATTAGTTACGGTAAAAAAAAAAAAAAGAATATTTTTAAAAAATTGTGATGAATTAACAACTCAAGTAGAATAGAAATAAATGTTTTTTAAACTTCTGTGTATAGAGTGGTTAAATAAACCACCATAAACTAAAGTGTACACAACCCAGGGTGGTTTGCAATCTTATACTTAATACAGAAAATAAGTACTAAGTTCATACAAAGAAATTAATGATCAGAATAACATTTATCCTTGGTCACAGTCAAAATTTATTTTCTGTTATTGACCTCTGAAGAATATCAAATTTTCTTGGGGTGGAGAAACGAAAAATGAATTTAGGAATCTGGTGATATAGACTCTGCCACAATCTTGCTAAATTACCTTTGACATGTAATATAAAGATTCTGATTAATCAGTATTTTTATCTGTTGAATGGAGATATTAATGTTTCCTCTTTCTAGATTTCAGGATTATTGAAAAAGCAACTGGAAAAGGGCAAAAAAAAAAAAAAAAAGAATAAGAAAGTACTCTGAAAGATAGAACCTGTTGCCACCCAGTCGAGTTCAGCTCATAGAGACCCTATACGACAGAGTAGAACTGCCCCTTAAGGTTTCCAAGAAGCAGCTGTGGATTCAAACTGCCCACCTTTTGGTTAGCAGTCAAGCTCTTAACCACTGCACCATCAGGGCTCCAAAAGACAGAAAACCAAACACCAAACCCACTGCCATCGAGTCGATTCCAGCCCATAGCGACCCTATAGGATAGAGTAGAACTGCCACATAGGATTTCCAAGGAGTGGCTGGTGGATTTGAACTACCGACCTTTTGGTTTGAAGCTGTATCACTTAACCACTGTGCCACTAGGGCTCCAAAAGACAGAAAGCACCATATACAATGTGCTTTTTCAATTAGTGGTAGGGGTAATGCTCAATCCATGAACTCTAAGGAGTGTAGTGCTCACAGAGGAAAAAAAATATTTGTGAAGTTCTAATCCCTGCTATCTAAAAGGTCGGCAGTTTGAATCCACAAGCCACTCCTTGGTAACCCTATGGGGCAGTTCTACTCTGTCCTGTACGGTCACTATGAGTCGGAATTGATTCAACGGCAATGGGTTCGTTTTGGTTTCTGGTTAATCGGGGTAATCCTTGTTACTCTCAAGTACTGCTAATTGCGTTTCTCCTTCTTTCCCCTTTCTTCATTTACTTCCCTTCTTTAGAACCTCTACCTGTAACCAGTGTTTCAATATATGATTATAAACCTTCTCCTGAAACAGGAGTCCTGTTTGAGATTCATTATCCAGAAAAATATAACGTGTTCACAAGAGTAAACATAAGCTACTTGGAAGGTAAAGACTTCCGGACAATGCTATATAAAGGTAAGACACAAAAGGAAGGGTGACTATGTGATGACTCACTCTTACTTGTTATATGACGTTTGCAAAATGGTCTTCTCTCCTTCTCTAAAGACGTTTTATAGCTCACTATTTGACCTATAAATGAACCATTAAAAAAAATGATCGATCGGTGAAAATCTTGTTAGGAGGACTCTTAGGACATCTGGTTCATTAGTTTAGTTGCATACAGCATGAAAAATACCTAAATTATTATCATTTATATGATATTCTTCCTAAAGGTAGCATGTCTGGTGCAGGAAATAAATTCAAACTTACCTAATTCACCTAAGCACTTACCTAACCAAATCCTTCCGGGTATGTTAAAAAGGTATTTCTGGGATTGGGAAGCTAGAGGTGTGCCCTTCACAAGTTGAACTAGGAGATGGTCCAAAGATTATCCTGAAATGCAAAAGACAATACTTTTTGGTTCCTTTGTATATATTTCTCTGTATACCCAACTAAATGATTGCAATAATACACAAAAATTGGTTTCCCAGTTTAGACTGGCTTGATAGGGGCCTTGTGGAGTGAGGAGAGAAGAGAGCCCAGGGGAATTAATTATTCAAATTTTTCCAAAGAATCAAGTCACCTTCTCTAGGTAGACGATGTGTGTGTACTCTTGTGTGAGTGTGTGTATGTCAGAGAGAGAGAGACAGACAGACAGAAACAGAGAGATGAAGAGAAACAGAGAAGAGAGAATTCAGCTTCATTGGGAGAGAATCGAAGGAAAGGAACTTGAATACTGTCAAGACGCAAACATCTCTGCAGGGCCAGTAGAGGATGGTATGAAAGATGACTGGTTATAACTGGAAACGTAATGGTAGAGAATGGATACTGAAGCACATAAAACCAGCTGCTGTTAAGTTGATTCCAATTCATGGTGACCCATGTGTTTCAGACTAGAACAGCCCTCCGTAGGATTGTCAATGGTAGTGATCTTCCAGAAGTAGATCACCAGATCTTTCTTCCAAGGCACTTCTGGGTGGATTCAAGCTTCCAACCTTTTAGTTAGCAGCCGATCACATTAACTGTTTACAACAGCCAGGGACTCCACTGCAGCTTGTAGGGCATGGTATCCAGAAAAATGTTAGTTTGACTTGCTGCATTTACAAATTCCCTTCTTCGGAGGACCTTTTTGGTGAGATACTGTTTAAATCTACACAGAGAATTTAAGGATTTTTAAAAATTAAAACAAAATTCAGTAAATATAAGCATAGGCTGCACAAGTTTTTGTGTTTTTTATTTTCAATGAAAATAGATTTTCTGAAAATTAGCAAGTAGGACCTTATTTGTTTATTGATCATATGCAAATACAAGTTCATGAATGATTGAAAAGCAATCACTGAAACTTTGGTTAAGAACTATAAGTTTAAAAATAAGTTAATTAATATGCTCCCATTTTTAAGTCAATACATTTTTTAATGAGATTTTTTTATTTTTAATTCAAGAAGTGGAACCTTTGGTTTCTTTACCCTTGTTTGTTTTTAACTTGTACTGGACTTTGAAATTTATTATTGTTTTCTTTAATGTTTTCCAAGCTGAATCCAAAATTTTATTTATTCTTTCTTTGAGCAGGTCCTGTTTGCCAACTAGCAGAAACATCAGTCTACTTTTAAAATAAGCTAATTTTTACAAGTGAGCCAGAGTGAAAGCATTTCTTGTAAAGTCATTTTTTTCCTACATCATAAAATGGTAAAATACCTTGAGTTTTTAATCTTAAATCAAATAAACCCATTGCCGTCGAGTCAATTCTGACTCATAGCCACCCTCCTATAGGACAGAGTAGAACTGCCCCATAAAGATTCCAAGGAGCAGCTTGTGGATTCGAACTGCCAATCTTTTGGTTAGCAACGGAGCTATTAACCACTGCGCCACCAGGGCTCCATAAATCGAATCTCTGGAATTTCTGCACATTATCTTCTCCACTATTTCTTCTTATTTTGAGTAGTGCCACATAAGCAAATGAAGGTCCCAAAAGCTTGACTCCATCCACATCATTAAGGCCACTCTGCTTTAAGGAGGCAGGTCTTCTCCAGTCGTATTTTGAATGGCTTCCAACCTGAGGGGCTCATCTTCTGGCACTGTATCAGACAAAGTTCTGCTGCTACCCACACGTTTTCACTGGCCGATTTTTTTTCAGAAGCAGACCACCAGGTCCTTCTTCCTAGTCTGTCTTAGTCTGGAAGCTCTGCTGAAACCTCTCCACCATGGGTGACCCTGCTGGATTCAGAAACTGATGTGGAAAGTGGAATATCATTGCTGATGTCAGCTGTATCTTGGCTGAAAGCAGAGAATACCAGAAAGATGTTTCCCTGTGTTTTATTGACTATGCAAAGACATTCAACTGTGTGCACCGTAACAAATTATGGATAACGTTGTGAAGAATGGGAATTCCAGAACACTTCACTGTGCTAAAGCATAACCTGTACATAGACCAAGAGGCAGTCATTCAAATAGAACAAGAGGATATTGCGTGTTTTAAAATCAGGAAAGGTGTGTGTCAGGGTTGTATCATTTCACCATACTTATGCAATCTGTATGCTGAGGAGTTGGACTATATGAAGAAGAGCCCAGCTTCAGGATTGGAGAAAGACTCATTAACAACCTGCAATATGCAAATGACACAACCTTGCTTGACAAAAGTGAAGAGGACTTGAAGCACTTACTGATGAAGATCAAAGACCACAGCCTTCAATCTGCTGCAAAAGATCTCTTTAAAGTGTTAAAAAGCAAAGATGTCACCTTGAGGACTATGGTGTGCCTGACCTCAAGCCATGATATTTTCAGTCTCCTCATATGCATGTGAAAGCTGAACAATGAATAAGACCGAAGAAGAATTGATGCCTTTGAATTATGGTGTTGGTGAAGAATATTGACTTTACCACTGCCAGAAGAACAAAGAAATCTGTCTTGGAAGAAGTACAGCCAGAACGCTCATTAGAAGCAAGAATGGCAAGACTTCATCTCACATCTCACATACTTTGGACATGTTATCAGGAGGCACCAGTCCCTGGAGGACAGCATGCTTGGCAAAGCAGAAGATCACCAAAAAAGAAGAAGACCCGCAATGAGATGGATTGACACAGTGGCTGCAACTATGGGCTCAAACATAGCAATGATTGTGAAGATGGCGCAGGACCGGGCAGTGTTTTGTTCTGTTGTACTTAGGATCGCTGTAAGTCAGAACCAACTTGCCTGCACTTAACAACGACAATCATCTCCTCCACTTAACACCCTAGAAGTTTCTGTCAAAAAAATTTAACTCAAATTATGCCCAATCTCCACAGGGATTCTGGCTTTTCAAATTGAGTTTCAAGATCCAAACTGTCTTCCACACCTTTCTATCCGTTTTTTATTACTGACCATGTCAGAAGTTGAAGGAAATATTATCTTATGGATATTTCATCATAATTAAGTTTAGAACGTTCTAGAAGTGTGTGGCACTTAGGCTATATTTTTTAATATAATGATTTTCCCTCCACAGATTTCTTTAAGGGGAAAACAGTATTCAATCACTGGCTACCAGGAATATGTTATAGTAACATCACGTTCCAGCTGGTATCTGAGGCAACTTTTAATAAAACTACTCTTGTGGAGTACAGTGGTGTCAGTCATGAACCCAAGCAGCATAGAACTGGTGAGTTTTCTGAAAAATTAAATTTAATAAAAAAAATAAAATACATGTGCAAAGTTATATGACAGCACAAAGGAGGGTGAGACTAATTTTTATTAGAAGTTCGTGGAAGGGACAACATTTGAGCTGGTATATGAAGGACAGGTAGGAAACGTTGCAGGAAGAGACCACACAGCATGCCTTCATCACTTTCTACCTCTAGAAGAGCATGCTTCCATAATTTATAAATTCACTTTATGCTCATTTCATTTTAGCGAGATGAGGAGTGAAGCCCATATTTCCAACATATATGGAAATGTCTCTAAAGACAACTCATATGTGCGACTCTCCACTATGCAGTTATGGCACGTGGACTCTTAAGAACACTATCATTGCTTTTTTGTGAGCACAATCCAAGGACAGAGATTTATTTGAAAAAAAGAGAGAGAGAGATTCTTACAAGCAGAAGATCCATTGCATAACTGTGCTGCAGAAGTGGTTAAATTATAATTTTAACAAGCATAATATCATAAGTTAATGTACCTGAAGTGTTACTGGTGATACCCTAATAGGTACACATCACAAATACTTAGAAATATGTCTTTAAATGACAGTTGTTCTTTACGAATTTGACTATATATTAGAAGTAAGATTAAACTTTATTTTGTAAATCTCCTTGTGCATCTGACTCATTGATTATTCACCCAGGTAGAGTTAAAAATACTTGTAAATGAAAATTCTCTCTCTTACAGCCCCTTACCCACCCCGAAATATTTCAGTTCGCATTGTGAACCTGAACAAAAACAATTGGGAAGAACAGAGTGGCAGTTTCCCGGAGGAATCATTCCTGAGATCGCAAGATCCAATGGGAAAAGACAAACTCTTCCATTTTACTGATGAAACTCCAGAAAGACCCTTTGGCAACGTTTCTTCTGGTTGGCCTGATTTTAACAGCAGTGACTACGAAACAACATCTCAGCCACGCTGGTGGGACAGTGCCTCTGCGACACGTGAAAGGGAGGATGGGTTTGTCAGTGTACTTCCCATGGAATACGAAGCTAACAATACCCTCAGTGAGACTGAGAAATCAACATCAGGCACTTTCCCATTTTTCCCTGTTCAAATGATACTGAGCTGGTTACCACCAAAGCCACCCACTGCCTTTGATGGGTTCCATATTTACATAGAAAGAGAAGGTAAAGCAATAGCAAATCAGAGGGACTGAGAAATGGTACAATAAAAGGAAAGGGGATTGAAAGGTTTCTAAATTTTAGTTTAGAAAAAGAGACTGTTGATAGGCAGTTAATACCTAAAGAAAAATGGTAAAGAGAGGGAAGAATTTGATTGAGTATCCAATAGAGACGGACTAGAAAACAAAAATGGATAGATTGGATCAAAATCAGAAGATTTGGGTAATGCACAAATTGCCAGTGCTGCAACTCTGTATCTCTCACTAGCCAACATCTCACATGCCCCAGGCCACTGAGGAACCCCTCAAAGTTGGAAAGATCTAGAATCAAAGGTCTTACTACCACAAATAACAAAATATCCTGGAGAATTGTTCTGTTTCCTTGTGTGCCAATTTGTAAAGCGTGCAGCAAATAATCTTTTAGGGAAAATGGCTACTTCCCCAAGAGTATCAGAACTGTGTCCCTCTTATCTAGCTAACCTTATTTCCTTTAGAATATGCCCTCTGGAAACAGCACCGCTTACACGTTCCCAAAGAGGAGTTGTGTTGTTGTTGTTAGGTGCCATTTAGCCAGTTCCGACTCATAGCGACCCTGTGGACAACAGAACGATACCCTGCCTGGTCCTGCACCATCCTCACAATCGTTGTTATGCTTAAGCCCATTGTTGCAGCCACTGTGTCATTCCATTGCATTGAGGGTCTTCCTCTTTTTCACTGGCCCTCTACTTTACCAAGCGTGATGTCCTTCTCCAGGGACTGAGCCCTCCTGATAACATGTCCAAAGTTTGTGAGACAAAGTCTTGCCATCCTTGCTTCTAAGGAGCTTCCTGGCTGTACTTTTTCCAAGACAGATTTGTTCGTTCTTTTGGCAGTCCATGGTATATTCGATATTTTTCTCCCACACCACAATTCAAAGGCGTCAATTCTTCTTCAGTCTTCCTTATTCATTGTCCTGCTTTCACGTGCATATGAGGTGATTGGAAACACCACGGCTTGGGTCAGGCACACCTTAGTCAAGGTGACATCTTTGCTTCTCAACACTTTAAAGAAGTCTTTTTGCAGCAGATTCATCGAGTGCAATGCATCTTTTGATTTCTTAACTGCTGCTTCCACGGGTGTTGATTGTGGCTCCAAGTAAAATGAAGTCCTTGATAACTTCAGTCTTTTCTCCATGTATTATGATGTTGCTTATTGGTCCAGTTGTGAGGATTTTTGTTTTCTTTGTGTTGAAGTGTAATCCACTGAAAGCTGTGGTCTTTGATCTTCATCAGTAAGAGCTTCAAGTCCTCTTCGCTTTCAGCAAGCGAGGATGTGTCAGCTGCATAACGCAGGTTGTTCACAAGTCTTCCTCCAATCCTGATGCCCTGTTCTTCTTCATAAAGTACAGCTTCTAGGATTATTTGCTCAGCATACAAATCGAATAGGTATGGTGAAAGGATACAACTTTGACGCACACCTTTCTTGACTTTAAACCGCGCAGTATCCCCTTGTTCTTTCTGAACGACTGTCTCTTGATCTATGTATAGGTTCCTCATGAGCACAATTAAGTGCTCTGGAATTCCTATTCTTTGCAATGTTACACATAATTTTTTATGATCCACGCAGTTGAATGCCTTGGCATAGTCAATAAAACACAGGTAAACATCTTTCTGGTATTCCCTGCTTTCAACCAGGATCCATCTGACATCAGCAATGATATCTCTGGTTCCACATCCTCTTCTGAATCTGGCTTGAATTTCTGGCAGTTCTCTGTCGATATACTGCTGCAGCCACTTTTGAATGATCTTCGGCAAAATTTTACTTGTGTGTGATATTAATGATATTGTTCGATAATTTCCAAATTTGGTTGGCTCACCTTTCTGGGGAATAGGCATAAATATGGTTCTCTTCCAGTCGGTTGGCCAGGTAGCTGTCTTCCAAATTTCTTGTCATAAATGAGTGAGCACTTCCAGTGCTGCATCCATTTGTTGAAATATCTCAATTGGTATTCCATCAATTCCTGGAGACTTGTTTTTCCCCAATGCCTTCAGTGCAGCTTGGACTTCTTCCTTCAGTACCATTGGTTTCTGATCATATGCTACCTCCTGAAATGGTTGAACGTCAACCAATTCTTTTTGGTATAGTGACTCTGTGTATTCCTTTCATCTTCTTTTGATGCTTCCTGTCTTGTTTAATATTTTCCCGGTAGAATCCTTTAATATTGCAACTCAAGGCTTGAGTTTTTTCTTCAGTGCTTTCAGCTTGAGAAATGCTGAGTGTGTGCTTCCCTTTTGGTTTTCCAGCTCCAGGTCTTTGCACGTGTCATTATCATACTTTACTTTGTCTTCTCAAGCCACCGTTTGAAGTCTTCTGTTCAGCTCTTTTACTTCATCATTTCTTCCTTTTGCTTTATCTACTCTATGTTCAAGAGCAAGTTTCAGAGTCTCTTCAGACATCCATTTTGGTCTTTTCTTTCTTTCCTGTCTTTTAACGACCTCTTGCTTTCTTCATGTATGATGTCCTTGATGTCATTCTGCAACTCACCTGGTCTTTGGTCGTTAGTGTTCAGCAGGTCAAATCTATTCTTGAGATGGTCTCTAAATTCAAGCGCGACATACTCAAGATACTACTTTGGCTCTCATGGACTTGTTCTAATTTTCTTCAGTTTCAGCTTGAACTTGCATATGAGCAATTGATGGTCTGTTCCACAGTTGGTCCCTGGCCTTGTTCTGACTGATGATATTGAGCTTTTCCATCGTCTCTTTCCACAGATGTAGTCGATTCGATGCCTGTGTATTCCATCTGGCGAGATCCACATGTATAGTCACCGTTTATGTTGGTGAAAAAAGGTATTTGCAATGAAGAAGTTGTTGGTCTTGCAAAATTCTATCATGCGATTTCCAGTATCGTTTCTATCACCAAGACCATATTTTCCAACTACCGATCCTTCTTCTTTGTTTCCAACTTTCACATTCCAATCATAACTAATTATCAGTGCATCCTGATTGCATGTTTGATCAACTTTAGACTGCAGAAGTTGGTAAAAATCTTCCATTTCTTCATCTTTGGCTTTAGTTGGTGCATAAATTTGAATAATAGTCATATTAACTGGTCTTCCTTGTAGGCATATGGATATTATCCTGTACTTCAGGATAGATTTTGCAATGTTCTTTTTGAGTATGAATGCAACACCACTCCTCTTCAATTTGTCATTCCTGGCATAGTAGACCATATGATTGTTCGATTCAAAATGGCCAATACCAGTCCATTTCAGCTTACTAACGCCTAGGATATCAATGTTTACATGTTCCATTTCATTTTTTATGGTTTCCAATTTTCTTAGATTCATACTTAGTACATTCCACATTCCTATTATTCATGGATGTTTGCAGCTATTTCTTCTCATTTTGACTTGTGCTACTTCAGCGAATGAAGATCTCGAAAACTTGACTTCATTCACATCACTAAGGTTGACTCTACTTTGAGGAGGCAACTCTTCCCCAGTCGTATTTTGAGTGCCTTCCAACCTGAGGGGCTCATCTTCCGGCACTATATCAGACAATATTCCATTGCTATTCATAAGATTTTCACTGGCTGATTCTTTTCAGAAGTAGACTGCTGGGTCCTTCTTCCTATAGAGGAGCTATAGTAAAACAGACAATGCACAACATATGCTCCTTTCACTGTAGCTACTTAATTTTATCTTATATTCGCTTATCCAGCATCAAGCTTCATTTTTTTATACTTTAGCCCACTAATTTATTAAAGCAGGGTCATGGCATTTGGCAAATTTGGGTCACGAATTATATTTAAACTGTTAGCTTGGTATATTTTTATGGTTATTTTGTTTTTGCTTTGTTTTTACTATAACGTAGTTCATTTTATGCTTTCCAGTCTGGTAGTTTAGATGGCAAAGGTTATCAAATTATCAAAATTTGAAGTTCAAATGACAGCCTTATTTTCAGGATAGGGCATTAGGATCATGTAGTCTCATATATGGAGCCCTGGTGGCACAGTGGTTAAGAGTTCGGCTGCTGACTGAAAGGTTGGCAGTTCAAATCCACCAGCCACTCCTTGGAAATCCTAAAGGGCAGTTCTACTCTGTCCTATAGGGTCGCTATGAGTTGGAATCAACTCGATGGCAACGGATTAGTCTCGTATGTGACAAATTGTTTACCCCTATTTCATTTAATAGCATGTGATATAAAAATCTGTGGGTTTCTCGAAACTAGACTGAGCAATCAACCAAACCCAAATACTTTATGAAACTGAAATCCTTTCTTATTTCCAATTATGTGAGTCCAAAGTCTTACCATTTGCCTGAAATTGCTTGTATAAAAAAGTTTCCTTAATCTGTCTTTTATTTTTCAGTTCCTCAATATAGTCTATGGAAAATAGGGTCTTTGTAACTCAGAATTTGTTTTTGACTGCCTATTTCCATGAAGACCCAATAACACTTTTATCTGACTGCAGTGCGTTCTTTTGAAGGCAAAAGTAGTCACCAGCTGATGATAACGACTTCAAACAAAGTAATAAGCAGCAGGAGATGAACTTTGAAGCAATGCAAAGTCATTTTTACTTTGAAAGGTTTCTGGAAGCAAACAGATGAAAGAAAAATATTACAAGTGTCAGAAAGTATATCCAGAAAAATTATTCCTAACGAAAAATAATTCAATATATTTAAGACATTTCTAGATATTTAATGCTACCACAAAGAAGTTATAAGATATTCAGTGCTAGTTATTTTTTATTCCTTATGTCCTAAGATGAGTAACTCAGCTAGTGCTACCTTCTCCTAATAGTCTACTTCTGTTTTGTGCACATAAATGTGTTAGGTAACGGGTACACAAATATATGCCGTACATACTCATCCTTAGTTTTATTGATTTGGACACCATATTTTAAATTGTTTAAAAATATCGTGAGAAACAATTTGAAATCCTCTCCATCCATGCTTTTATGGTGCGCTTAATTTAAGAGGTATACTTGAACTTGGCAAAAGGAACGAAGTAATATAAGAATGTGTAATTTTTTTTTAATTTATTGACTTGTCTAAAGCCAGGGTCCTTCCAAGGATCAATTGATTGATATATATTCTCTTGTTTATATATGCATTAGAAAACTTTACTGAATATTTGACAGTGGATGAAGAAGCTTGTGAATTTGTTGCTGAACTGAAGGAGCCTGGGAAATATAAGTTATCTGTGACAACTTTTAGTTCCTCAGGATCTTGTGAAACTCGAAAAAGTCAGTCAGCAAAGTCACTCAGCTTTTATATCAGTAAGTATCAAAGAGATTCTTTTGCACTTACAGGGAAGCTAGAACAATGAAACACTTGAGATTAATGATACCCAGGCATCAATTATTCATCAAAGCTTAGGGATCCTGAGAATTCTTCAAGGTCAAGAGATGCTGGGGTCCGTGAGATTTCTGACAGCAGAGGAAATATATGTATGTTTGATAGTAGAAAACCTACCCAGGGGTTTAACTTGAGGACTTTTTTTCATTATTGTGATAATGGAACATTCATTAAACTGACCTTCCACATTAGCCATATCAAACTCTCCAAAGATATGGACACACAGTTTGAGAAATATGACTTTTGTCTGAGGCCGTGATGAAAATTGATATTGTAGGACTCTATGAAAATTGTCATTAGAGGGTTGAGCTTGTGGAGGTGAAAAGACAAAGATTCAGGTGTAGTTATACCCAGGTGGTTTCCATGAAGTTGGCAGGAGAAGACAAAACTAGAAGGTCCTAAAAGCCCCAATGTCAAGTGTTAGGGCAGCTTCTACTGATCCTATGAAGGGTAATAGCAGAGCAACAGCTAACCTCTAGAGGCTGCACAAACAGAGCCCTTCTCTGTAATGTTTTGTTTAGTTCAGTTGACTATGTTTATTGTAAGGCTGAGACCAGAGACCAGTTGCCTAGTTTACTGAGATTTAAATGTGCCTCTGAGTAGCAGAAAGAAACACCAGAAGACAATGGCTAAAAACTACTTCGAGAAAAGGCTGACCACCCTACCCGCTGTTGCCTTCTCCGAAGGTAAAATACCACCTTTGAGAGAACAATCCTCAAAAAGTGGAGACAGGAGGGAGGCAGAGGACAGGAGATCAGTTTCTTGAGCAGCTTTAAAGTCCTGAAAATGTCCCTTGCAATATTTTTACTTAAGAAACCGAAAATGTGAAAGGATTGGAAAATCCCTTAGCCCTGCAGTAAGTGTATTCATAATTGCCTTGAATGTCTTTCAAGCATGAGACATATTTTTCATGAGATCGTTTAAGAATGAGAACAAAGTTTAGTATTCAGTTCTTCCCACAAGACTCAGGATATCTGGGTTGAGTCCCAAGTGCCTATCAGCTCTGTGACACTAGGCAGGTCATTCATGTCTCTGGGCCTCAGTTCTCCTCATCAGTAAAATAAGGCATTGCACTTCTAAAGTTCCTTTCAATTCTAACAGTCAATGAATTACCCATTTGACAGATGCAATGACTAGGATTCAGAGGCATTAGATCATTAGTCCAAAGTTGCACCACTAATAATGAGCAAAGCTGAGTCTTAGGCCCACTCTCTTATCTTCAAACCAATTCTTTTTACTCACTAATACTGCTCCAGGAAGTCTGACACAGGGGTTAAGAGCGTGGATTTGGAACCCGACTTCCTGTGTTTGAATCCCAGCTCTGTTTAACCTATCTCTGCCTAAGTTTCCTCATTTGAAAGTGTGGTTAATAATAGTACCTATCTCATAGGCTTGTTATGAAAATTAAAGGATTAAAATATGTAAATACGTTTCTCCCCAACAGGGTCACTTGCTTTTTTCTGCTCCTCCATTCCACCCTAGGAATACAGCTTTCTTTTAAGAAACTGAGAAATGCATCTTAAGCAAATAAAAGGAAGCTGCACATTTGCATTTCAACAGGGAGTTTTGGGTAGATAATAATCACCTTAACATTTCTTGAGTCTTTACCAAGTGTCAGACATTGGGCTAATAACCACTTTAGAAACTTAAGAGAACAAAGCTCTTGATGGCATTTCTATGGAGATGATAGTTTATAATGAGGAACCCGCCCGTGTCCCTCAGATCATCAGCCAGGTTTTAGCCAGCTTCTGTAACTGAGCCAGCCTGTAACCTGTTTCTTCTCTAATGTAGTCACAGACTGCCTCTTTGAGTCTGCTGTTGCCAAATTTAATAAATTCTTACGTTGTAGTAGAGACTAATTTAAATTCTCAAGGTAATTATTTCTAGAGACCAAAGATCCTAACCAAAACCAAACCCACTGCTGTCAGGTCAATTCTGACTCATAGCAACCCTATAGAACAGAGTAGAACTGCTCCATAGGGTTTCCAAGGAGCATCTGGTGGATTTGAACTGCTGACTTTTTGGTTAGCAGCCATAGCTCTTAACCACTACACCACCAAGATTTCCTAACAGGAAGGGTATTATAAACACTGTTGAAAAGCCACACCTCTGCACTGCAACACCCATTCTTTGTTAGAAGAAAAGTAAGTTCTCTCTAGCTCAGAATTTACCAGAATAATCTCAGATGCTCATGATAAATTAAATGGACCTCTGTCTCTCAATAGAACTGTTTTTGTTGCTGCTGCTGCTGCTGCTGTTGTTGTTGAGGTCAATGACGAGGTCATGGAGTTGAGGGCTGGGGCTAAGCAGAGAATCTAAAGGTCTGACAGTCAGGCTGTGGGTCTTACGCTGAATATCTTTGTACGGGCAAAGGAAAGCAACCTGATTTTTAAAATGAGAATCTTTTATCTTGACCAGCTCAGCTTGAAACTTCACTTGTGCTCTGATTTAAAATTTGCAGGTCCTTCAGGAGAATGGATTGAAGAATTGACGGAGAAGCCCCAGCATGTACGTGTTCATGTTTTAAGCTCAACCACTGCCTTGATGTCCTGGACGTCTTCCCAAGAGAACTACAATAGCACGGTTGTGTCTGTGGTATCGCTGACGTGCCAGAAACAAAAGGAGAGCCAGAGGCTTGAAAAGCAGTACTGCACTCAGGTAAAGAACAGAAACGTGGATGAGCACACTCACCCTACGAAGCACAGCCACATAGGGGCAACAGACAGAGACAATTACAAGACGCCCAAGTCCAGGTCCCCATGGATGGGTAGTAAACAGCGTGACTAACAGTCAGGAGAGTATCCAGGAAGTGAGCGTAAAGGCCATCTTCCTCCCCCCTCGAGGAGAATGGCCACATCCAGGGCCATGTTCCTTTTATTTTCATTCCTCTAGTCAAAAGCATTTACTGAGCACCTACCATGTGCCGAAGTGGCCCAAACAGATAAGCCCTCAGCTACTAGCTGAAAGGTTGGCAGTTTGAACCCACTCAGTGGTGTCTTGGAAGATAAGCCTGGCAATCTGCTTCTGAAAGGGCACAGCCTTGAAGACGATATGGAGCAGTTCTATTTTGCACAGAGGAGGTCGCCATGAATCAGAATCGACTTGAGGGCAACTAAGAACCATAACATGTGCCGGGTACTAGGAGAAATGTTGGAGATCTAGAAAATTTTTAAATGACCTGCTTTTTCAGAGCTTGTAATCTAGTGAGAAAAATGGATAATGAACATATAATTACTACACAGTATAGAATAAGACCTAGGCTAAAAGTAAATGATCAAGAGGCCTTATGGGCCCATAGAAAGGAGGAGCTGAACAAGAGTAATGTGGATTAGGGATGGTACAGATTGAACTGTGTCCCTAAAAAAGATATGTTGAAGTCCTAACCCCAGTGTCTCTGAACTGGGCCCTGTTTGGAAATAGGGGTTTTCTTTGTTATGGTAATGAGGCCATACCAGAGTAGGGTGGGTCCTAAACCTAATCCCTTCTGAGTGGTGTCTTATAGAAAGGGAAAAAACGACATAAGAAGACACACAGAGAGGGAAGACGCCACTTGAGGGTACTTCTACAAACCAAGGAACACCAAGAAACTCCTGGGATGCCAGAAGCTGAAAGAGACAAGGAATGAGCTTTTCCTGGAACGTACAGAGCATAGCCCTGCTGCGGTCCTGAACGTGGACTCCTAGCCTTCAAAACCAAAACAATAAATTCCTGTTCTTTAAAACCACCCACTTGTGGTATTTGTGTTACAGCAGCACTAGGAAACTAAGATGGGGTGATGAGTATTTGGAAACTGATCAGAAAAGCTTCCCAGAGAAGACAAACAAGCAAAGGGTTCTGGGGGAGGGTTATTTTATATTTTTGGGCTTTCCGCCTTTTTTTCTCATTTCTTTTTATTCTAATTTTATGCGTAGCACGTGCTCACTAAAAAAAAATTCAAAAATTAAAAATATATAAACTAAAAAACTCCCCCTTCAGCAATACCATCTGAGGAGAAGAGTTTTGGAGGATAAATAGGAATTAGCTGAGCAGAAAGGAGAGTGAGGGGTAAGTGGACACACTGTGCAAATCTAAAGTTATGTGATTAGATGGCTGAATGAATGCACGTACCCAGTTATCAGTCCTGACTGAAATTGTGAGTTATGAGACCAAGAGAGGAAGGAGCTCTCAGGTGTCCTGAATACCCATGAGAAGCCTAGGGCCAGTCTTATTTTGTTAAATGTGACTTTGTTTTTTCATAAGATTAAATCTGGTGATTCTTGGTATCTTAAATACACAGTATTTTCTCCCCTAAGAGCCATGTGGATAATATAATGACTCTACAGTTCAATATTATATCATTTTTTAAAATAATTTTATTTTGTTGTTGTTGAGAATATACACAGCAAAACACAGTTTCTACATGTACAATTCAGTGACATTATGTTCTTTTAGTTGTGCAACCATTCTCATCCTCCTTGTCTCAGATGTTCCTCCGCATTAACATAAATTCACTGCCCCCTAAGGTTCCTATGTAAATGAGAAATGTTCTCTGCAACGTTATTGTACGAGGTGCCCAATAATCTTGCCAAATGCTTTCCGTCTCTGTGTCTCGATGCTTAGCCCCAGACTTGCTCTTCATGTGGACTAGGAGTCACAACAAGAGGCTTCTAGTCGCAATACGTGTGCCCTTGGCCATTCTCTGACTTAACTTTCCTGATCTATTAAATGAGAGACTTTGACAAGATAACCTCTGAGGTCATTTGCATCTCTATAACTAGATATTATTTGCCTCTAAGTGACGAGAGACTAAAGACATTCGTGCACTTATCTTTGTATGTAATCAGCTGACGCTATGATTTAGGATGTCAGACCATCCTTAGGCTGTTGCTGATTTGATTACGGTTAGAGGCTGATGTGTCTCTTGTGTGCAGAGTTACAGTTGATGTTGATGGGTATAAAGCAGTTCAGGCAGCTTATTAAATCCAGCCATAGAATTTGAATGTTGTGGGTTCTCTTCAGGGTTCACATGAACTATAAATCATTCTAATTTTAAGATCTGACCTTCCTCAGCATGAATAAAGGCCTCTGAATTTCAAAGGCATCTGTGTTTCCACAAAGACTCGGTGAATACTACTTCAGCCTGTGTCATATTCTGTGAGCCCGGCTCTCAATAAATATTATTGTGTGTTTGGTTTAAGGTGAACTCAAGCAAACCTGTTATTGAAAATCTGGTTCCTGGTGCCCAGTACCAGGTTGTGATGTACCTGAGAAAAGGCCCTTTGGTTGGACCACCTTCAGATCCCGTGACATTCGCCATTGGTAAGTTTCCAGCCGCAAAAATAATAACTTAACTCTATGAGTTTATCAGCTGAAGGAGTGCAATGTGGAAGCTCAAATCATCATGATTACATATGGGAGGCCCATACTAGTTTATCCAACATTCTCCCTCAGAATAACAAATAACTAGAATTGTGTAGATGGAGGACATCCTTAGCATTTGTTTATTCCTCAGGGAAAAAAAATCAGAGGCAAATATGTTTCGTTTAATTATCAATAATATATCAGAACAGTGAAAACCCTAGTTATTAAGGAGAAGTTTCAAGCCATTGCTACGATATTAAACACTCCTTCTTGGATTTCTTTTTCCACCCTCCTTCCTCCCCTCTTTAGTTCCCACCGGAATAAAGGATTTAATGCTCTACCCCTTGAGTCCTACAGTAGTGGTACTGAGCTGGACCAGACCTTACTTAGGAGTGTTCAGAAAATATGTGGTTGAAATGTTTTATTTCAACCCTGCAACAATGACATCGGAGTGGACAACCTACTATGAAATAGCAGCAACCGTCTCCTTAACTGCATCGGTGGTAATCGGCCCTTAACCAGCTGTCACACTTTGCTATGTGAACAGATGTGCCTTTAGGTAGCAAATGTGTCGAGAAAAAGTTAGCTGTCAGTTAGGCTGTTTTGTAAATGCACACAGGTAGCTTGCTACTTTCAAGGAGTTTTGGTTGTTTTTGTTTTGGGGTTTTGTTTTTACTTTCGAAAGAAGTAATTGTGTGAAGCTAGCTTTCACCCCTAACTGAGTTTATTTGTTAATTTCCTAATGAATTTGCTTAAAAAAGAGTAAACTATCAAGCGCTTATTATTTCTCTGTGCTCCTGAGGGGGAAAGCATGAGATGTCCCTTGGGCATTCAATAATTAGTTGACAATTCCTAGTTCTAATGATGACATCTACAACTCAGTTAAATACCTATAATGCCAGGCCATTACAGGTTGGTTTTTAAGAGAACAAGTAAAGACTGCTCTTTTTAAGACTGGAATAATTTTTAAAGTACAGGTTACCTACAGGTCACGCATAAAGTACACGATTGCCCTTTACCTGGCCGATGGCTCTGATATTGCCACGCACCAAGGACTCCGCTTCTGGTCCAAGTTGGGAGAATACAGAGTCGTGAGGGGTCATATATGTTTTATAAATAGCGCAGGTATACACACGGTCACTTACAAGCAAGTACTATTTAAGCTGCATAATATACTTATGAAATTGCATAGTGAAACTAATATTGGAAATATTTAACCCTATACCTTTGAATTGCCTTTAAAAATGAAAATATTTTAGTATGTCATTTTACTTATGCTTCACCTCATCCAGAAAGAATTTTTTATTATATAAAATTTGGGAAAGGCATGAAGGCACAGAAAGAAAAATAAAAATTACTTAGTAATTTTTTCATGACCTAAGAAATATAACTTTATTCCAAAAAATGATTTTCCCCTTTAGTCTTTTGTCTCCTTGCTTTCTTCCTCATCCAGAAAATAGCTAATCTGTTGCCAGCGTGGTACTACAACTTCCGTGTTACCATGGTGACGTGGGGAGACCCAGAATTGAGCTGTTGTGACAGCTCCACCATAAGCTTCATCACGGGTGAGTGGCGCGTGGGAGGTGGCTCCATGAGGAGGGAAGAATGTATTGAGGAGGCACTGAGGGGACCCATCTGCAGAAAGTATCAGCTATCGGATGATGCTTAATGTACCCAACACTGATTGACTACCAATTTCATGGAAGATCACATGATTGATTCTGATAATTCATTATGTGTCTAGACGATAGTCTTTAAAAATTGAAATATAATTTTTTTTTCTTTGAGCTACTGCCCTTGACTTATGGTTATTCTGAGTCACTGCCCTTGACTCCTGTCCCATGTTTGGAATCGATTAGGATAGAGACATAGCAGGCAGAGCCTTTAGCTTCACACTGCACACTCAATTGATTTTACCCATTTGATAATTGTATTTGTCAGAGTGCCTCCATTTCCTTGTTAATTATGTCATTTTTAAAGTTACAGGCTGACTGCGGTACTGACAAGTGCAGGGGTTAAGAAAGGCATAGGAGACAGATAGAACAGGGTTTGAACCATGGCTCTGCTACATGCCTCATGTAGCCTTGAGCAAGCTAAGTTTACTAAGCCTCAGTTTTTTTCATGTGCAAAATGGGGATGATCATATCTCTTATTATTCTATATTCTCTATTATTGCTTCACAGTTACATAAGCTAGTTTGCAAAACATGTGGGACAATGTTTAAGTACTCAAAAATTGTTAGTCTCAGAGCTTCGAGGCTTCACATACTGCAGTTGCAACAAGTAGTCAGAGATCACAATGAAAAGGGGGAACTCATCAAAGAAACGCTAATCCTCATTGTACGAGCTAAGATTTTTCAAGAACCTTTGATTGAACTGCAAGACTGTAGTTGGAGTTGTACTGCGAAAAGAGAGGAGAAAAATATTGTTTAAATTAAGAATAATTTTGGTAAAATATTTCCCTCACTGGACATCAAGTTTTACTCAGTTGAAATTATCAATGAAAAAAATGGAAAGATATTAATAATATGTGAATTCTTACATAATCAACTTAGTATTATGTCACTTTTCTTGACTAGCCAGTATCTAGGCCTCTCTTTGATCTAGATGTCAATAATAATATTAGAGTAGAAAAGTGAAAGAATACAAAAAAAAAGAGAGAATATACCAATTGTGTGCAAAGCACTGTGTTAAGCTCTTTACTGTGTTAAATATTTAATTATAACTAAGCTTCACTGTATCAATAATTTACATAGTTATTCTGATTAACTTTCTGAGAATACTCTTTCCCTCTCAGATGGAGCAGCTGAGGATTACCAGAAAGAGGCCAGACTTAGCATCTGAACCCTTGACTCAGCAGAGCCGGCTCTGCCATATTTGAACTGTAGAGCTTTGAACAAATTATCGTAATGATACAAGTTTCTATTTTTTTTATCGGTAGAGCCCCCCCAAATATTACTGGACAACTAGTTAAAAGAGCAAAACCGAGTGTGTTGGAACATACTACAATAAGGGAGAATGACAACTTGACAAATTCTTTGCAGTATCTCAGAAAAGGAATATTAGAAATAGAATATTAAAAGCATTTTTGAGTTCTGGCCTTTCAAGGCGGGGAGCCGACTGGGATTGGCAAAGTTCATGATATAACAGTGTAGGTAGACAGAGCCAGTCTGGATAAGTAAAACCTGATTCATGAGCATGCTCTTTGCCTAGGTGAATAGTCTATTACCTCCAAGAAATTGATCTTTAAGAATTTATTTTTCTTGAAACAACTAATCCACAATCTTATCTAAGCATATTGGCACAGTCTCAACTCCCACATCTATAAAATGGGTACCATAGTACTTTATGGGTAATATGAAAATTAAATTATAAAAGTCACTATTAATACATATATATATATATATATATATAGTAGCTTATTTTTATTTTTTACACTTATTTTTTAAACTAGTTTAAATTCTAGTTTTTTGGTTTATTTGTTTTTGCCTTTTTTCTCTCATTTCAACTTTAAAGCAAACAACGATTGATTTTCTAATTTCATGATTTACTTTCCTATACTTTGAATTTTAATCCAAACTGCCAAAATGAGCGGGATAAAAGGAAATAGAGACAAAATATTTGAATTAGTTGTGATTTCTGAAGATCTCAAGTCTACAATCTTTGATAGGTGAATTTGTCTGCAAGTCAAGTTCACAATAATTATGCTAGTGTACCAAATAATGATTAATAAGCAAATGGTGACATCTTGTGGCCTTTCAGTAACAAGCTGGATTTTAAAGCAACAATATGGAGTATAAAAATCTTAACACCTCATCCCTGTGCGTTTGCATCTTTAGAAATGTTTCTTCTCACTAGAATTAGAAGATGGTGAGAACATATCTTTTGAGGAAAATATATATATATATATATATATAGGGATATAGATATATAAATATATATATGGGAATCCTGGTGGCATAGTGGTTAAGAGTTCCGCTGCTAACCTCAAGGTTGGCAGTTTGAATCCACCAGGCCCCCCTTGGAAACCCTGTGGGGCAGTTCTACTTTGTCCTCTAGGGTCGCTATGAGTCGGAATCGACTCAGCCACAACATACATATTTATTTATTTATCATAAATGGATAGATTAAGAAACCAAGGTTATTTTCCCTTATTGGAATATTCTGAAATATGATATGAGTTTCTATTAACTGCTAGATGTATTGTTTATATGTGAAGATTCTGTCAAATACTAGAAATGCTACCTGTATTTTACATGAAACAGAAATATTTTTTTACTTTATGTATCATAATTCTCTTCAGTAAATAATTGTCCTTGAAATCATAGTTTGTTATAATATTTGTTATGAATATTAGCCCCATATTGAAGAAACTTTTTTTAATAATTTATAGGAATTTTTTCCCAAATGTTTTAGTTGATTTTATGCTGTATCTCAGAATGCAACACTTGGCTGGCCTCAAACCCACATGTTGTTGTTGTCAGGTGCCGTTGAGTAGGTTCTGACTCATAGCAACCAAATGTACAAGAGAACGAAACCCTGCCTGGTCTTGCACCATCCTCGTAACCGTTGGGATGTTTGAGCCCATTGTTGCAGCCACTGTGTCAATTCATCTCATTGAGAGTCTTACTCTTTTTCAGTAACCCTCTACTTTACAAAGCATGATGTCCTTCTCCAGGGACTGATCCCTCCTGATAACATGCCCAGAATACATGAAACAAAGTCTTGCCATCCTTGCTTCTAAGGAGCATTCTGACTGTACTTCTTCCAAGATAGATTTGTTCATTTTTCTGGCAGTCCATGGTATAGTCAATATTCTTCACCAGCACCATAATTCAAATGCATCAATTTTTCTTCAGTCTTCCTGATTCATTGTCTACCTCTTACATGCATATGAGGTGATTGAAAATAGTATTTTAAATTCAGTTGTGTATTTCTTTCTTAAAACTTTCAGAATTATCAGTCACTTTAAAAAAATAACTGAAGTACCCTTTCAGAGTTCATATTTTATAAAGCTCATGGTGAATTCTCCTTCCCAATGAGCAACCTTTTAAAATTTGAATGTGTAATAATACACAGTAAATTAATAAACTCAGTGTTAAAAAGGATTTAACTTTATAGCACGATAAAAAAGCTCTTTCTTCCCTCTCTTACTACTTGCTTCAGCAACATTTATTAGGAGCTTACCTTCTGCAGGGCACTGTGCTAAGTACTGTCAGTGATACTGCTTTTTTATTTTATGGAAATAACATTTATCTTCTATCCTACTAATAGTAACTCCATCCTTCTACCCTCATATCCTAGTGTCCTTTATTCCCATAAACTTCTTCACTGAACTTCAATGAAAGATGCTTACTTTTACAGAACCCACACTTCCCAACACTGCTTAAATAATGACTTCACCAGTGCCTATAAATATTACTTGATGCAACAGGTATACCCAAGCAAGCAAACATTTTAAGAGTCTTCTAATGTTGAAATTTGTTTAAAAGTTTTTGATATCCCCAGGTACAGATGGATCTGTCTGGCATCTGAGCTATACAAGGTGGGGTCCCGTAAAACAAGTGCCCACCCTGTACCACTAACCTTCGCTAGTTTACTGAGAGGTGTTGGAGGCCCCAGGACCCTCATGTGGGTGTGAATTTTCCTTCTCTCTATGAACTATATGGGATATATGCTCTACTGATAAGTGTTTTAATTATCATTAGTCTAGTATACTAAATTGTGCCTCTTTCTTCCCTTGTAGCCCCAGTGGCTCCAGAAATCACTTCCGTGGAATATTTTAACAGTCTGTTATATATCAGTTGGACATATGGGGATGACACCACTGACCTGTCCCATTCTAGAATGCTACACTGGATGGTTGTTGCAGAAGGAAGGAAGAAAATTAAAAAGAGTGTATGTTTCTTCAAATCCCAATATGGGGCATCTGTGTTGTTTTCCTGTGGCTGTAGTAACAAATTACCTCAAGCTGGGTGGCTTGAAACAACAGAAATGTATTTGCTCACAATTCTGGAGGTCAGATGTCTGAATCAAGATGTCAGCCAGGCCATCACCCCTGCAGAGACTCTGGAAGAGAATCGTTCTTTGGCTGTGTCAGGAATTCCCTGGCTTGTAGTCATATCACTTTAACTTTGCCTTCCTCTTCATGCCACCTTATCTTCTGGGTGTCTCTTAAAAGGACTCTGGGCCCGCCTGGAGAGTCCAGGATAATCTCATCTCAAGATCTTTAACTTCATCACATATGAAAGGACCCTTTTTTTCCAACTTTATATTCACAGATTCCGGGTATTAGGATATGGACGTATCTTTTAGGGGGCCACCATCCAGCCCACTACAGTTTGAACATTTATTTGTCTGAACAAATAAATGAGATCAGGTTAAATATTGAAAACCATTAAGCAAACATTTATTGAGACATTAAACAGAAGTTTGTGTGCCACGTGGCATTATTTTAGGCCCGGGAGGCAGAACAGTGAACAGAAGGCAAATTCTTCCTCTCGTGGAGATTACCTTTTAATCTGTAATCGTTCGCTATAATAGATGCAATTATTGATTTGATTCAGATTTAAAGTTATGATTTCAGCTTGTTCTTCATGATGCCAAACATTTTCAAGAAAACTTAATATAGTTCACTATTCTTTCCATATATCAACACCTAAATATTGGGTACATTGGGAATACTTTTTTTTTTCCCCTGGTTTATTAAACTTTTAGACATTGGATTGCTTAACATGTACACTAAACTACTATAATAAAGAAACACAAAATAAGATAGTGACTTAAACAAGATAGAAGTTTGTGTCTCTGTCACGATACCCCAGAACTGACAGGGCGCCTCTGCTCTAAGGGGCCTCCAAGGATCCAGATTCCTTCTGTCTTGTTGCTCCACCTGTCACCATGTGTAGTCCTCATTTGCAAAAATGAGCTTTCTTCATCGTTACATTCATATTCCAGGCTGCAGGAAAGGGAAAAGAGAGGAAATGGAGACCTACCACTTCCAGTATGTGAACTGAGCTATAAGTTGCCCATGTGATTTCCACTTAAAATCCATTGGTCAGAATTAGATATATGGTTTCCCTAGCTATATGGGACGCTGGGAAATACAGTCTTTAGTTAGGAAGCCACGTGTCTATAGACAGGGCTAGACTTCATTCTGAGCGTCTCAGCCACAACTGAGCAATGCACAGATCAGTAGCACACGGCTTTGAATATAGAAAAAAATACCAGAATAATATTTATTCTACGTAAGAAAATTATGTGCAAAATTACTCTATCTGAAGTGTATTCTGCATCTGTAGGGCTACCCTGCACTTGGTTTAGTTTAGGAGCTGATAGAACGTGCTGAGGCAATAACGCATCCGTAGGGTTGTCGTCAATTACAGACTGCAGCACAGAAGAGAAAGGCAAAGTTGGCTCTAGGCTTGTAGTTGTTTGGGTGCTATGCTGGTTCAAGTTCATTAAAAGTTTAAGCCCTCGATTTTGATAATCTTGCAGGTAACACGAAATGTCATGACTGCAATTCTCAGCCTCCCTGCAGGAGACATCTACAACCTCTCAGTAACTGCTTGTACGGAAAGAGGAAGTAATACCTCCATGCTCCACCTAGTCAAGCTAGGTAAGAAGAATGCATGGGTATGTGAATAAAAATAATCATGCTGGGAGAGCTAGTGTCTGTATCTCTTGATTTAGTTTGGGCTTTTCAAGTCAATGAAATAATAATAGAATATGGCTAACTCTCTTTCATAAGTAGAAAATAGACATTTATACTACCAAAAGAGTACCTTCAACTTAGTATGAGTTACTGTGAATGGAATGTACATTGTGCTGGGAGACAAGTGTTCACTATTCTTTGTAAGGTTAGAAAACCAAAACCAAACCTGTTGCCATTGAGTTGGTTCCAACTCATAGCGACCCTATAGACAGAGTAGAACTACCCCAGAGGGTTTCCAAGGAGCGGCTGGTGGATTCAAACTGCTGACCTCTTGGTTAGCAGCCAAGCCCTTAACCACCGCACCACCAGGGTAAAGTCAGAGGGACCAAGGAATCTTAGGCTTTGGGAGATGGAAGGACCTTAGAGATTACCTAATGCAGTTTCCTTAGCCCAGTCAGGCAGCATTCCCTTTTCACATAAATATTACATAATGCCCTCTTTATTATCTTAAACTAAAATTCACAGATAAAGTAACCCACATATTGATTTTTAAAAGTTTGATATGATTTCCTTACTCTAATATAAAATCAAGATAAAATACAAGTAATTTATAACAAAATAATATATTTCCCTACATATATGTTCAGGCATAACTACTCTGAAAAACATAATGAAATTGTCTGATGCCTGATCATAATTAAAATAAATCAGCTAGGTTTACAAGAAATAAAAGATCAGAAGTCCTTCCGTAAAAGCAGTACAAAAATAAATGAACAAATAAATTAATTAGTAAATAATAAAGAGATAAGCAAGCATGGGTACAGGTGGATTCTATAAAAAAAACTAGAGTTAGTAAGTAATAAGAGACTAGACAAATTTGTTTGTGATAAAAGAAAGTGAGAAATAGCCTTAATTAGAAATAACATGCCAAAAATTGAGGAAAGTATGATATTCTTGCAAAAGAGCTGGAATGTATCTGTGTACTGCAGTGTAAAAATACTTATATTATTAAAGACAACTGGGAAGTGACACTGTGTAACACAAAACGCTTCTTCTACCTTCAAAACTCTCCCACACATAGAGACATGCATTCAGTTTCTGATACTTAAAGAGACTTCTGAGACCATAGCCTATAATCAGCAGCAGGCAATGGAGGATGGATTGGCAAAAAGTTGTGCAGTACATCTCTTGGGGTGGCATCAGTGTAAGAGTTACAATCCAGAGGTAAATGTATAATTTCCATAGCAGAGATAGCATAGCATTTTTCTATTTCAAAAAACATAAAACTGCAGTAATAAAAATATTTTCCAAATATTTAATGAAAGTTTATTGACATCTCTGCTTCAGATGTCTAATTTATATTATGTGTGAGTCTATTCTCTAACAGTCTCCACTCACCTGTTATTCTGTATGTCATATGACAGCTATAAGTGAAGAGTAAATTGGACCACCCCCAGCTGCTGTCAAACCTAGTCCAACTCAAGCAACCCCTATGTGTGTCATAGTAGAATTGTGTTCCATAGGAATTTTAATAGCTGATTTTTCTGAAGTAGATCACCAGGCCTTTCTTCTGAGGCACCTCTGGGTGGACGCAAGCCTCCAACCTTTCGTTTAGCAGCTGATTGTACTTTTATTAGCAGCTTAAATACCATGAGCAACACTATTGTCTGTAATGTACTTTTAGAAAATGGTTTTGAAAAGCTCTAGCAAAAAAAAAAAAAATCTTTCCTCAATTCACCCATTAGTTGCATTTCTCTATAATTCAACGCATAATGCACTGTGTCTCAAATCTTTTCAATTCCATATTTGCAGTTGATTCATTACCTTGGCAAAAAACTACATTCTTGCACTGAAACCCTTTAAAATTAAATATGTAGTTGGAAACACATGATGTATTGAATGAACACTGTGGGCAGAAGAAACTACAATATTCAGTAATCTTAAAATCATTTCAATTCCTTTTAAGTATCCCTCTCCATGATAACTTTCTTCTAAATTATTTTGCTTAACTTCTTTGAAAAAACTTTCAGTACTGTTATATGGTAAAGTACTTGAAATTTCTGTTTGTGGGGGGTTTATTCTGGTGCAACATTTGAAAGTGATGTAGGACATGGAATAATATTTTGGTTTGGGAACTCTCTTGATCATTGAAGAACATCAAGCATTTCAAAGTCCTCACCACAGAAGTCCAGTTAACGCCCTTCGTTGTAACTTCCGAAAACATTCCTGTAAATTTCCAAAGCGCCCTCAAGGGGGCGGTACTGCTCGTGTTGAGAAACACTGGACCCATTCAATCTTCCAGGCAACGCAGGGTATCTTCTCTTCTTCCCCAGAGATCTATACTTATATTCTAGGAATGTGGAGATCACCAGCTTCCAACACTGCATAATGTAGCCCTGCTATTAAGAAGAAAATGTCCTACTTATCAATTCCAACCATTATCTCTCATTATGTTCTCTGTGGATATAAAGGTCAGCTCAAAATTCATTTCCAGGTAACTGGAATTACTTGAAGATTCTGCTCATGTTCTCCATGTCATGCCTTTACTTTCCAAAGCCTTGTTATTGCAGGTAGCTTTAAATATTTCTCAGGTCCTACCTGCTATCTTCAACTCATTTGGTTTCTCAGTCTCCCTTAAAATGCAGGTTCAGAAGTGGTGGGTCAAAGTAGCATTCATGGGTCTATTGCATGCTTCACTGCATTTTTATGTGACATATGGATCAGCTATGGAGCCTCAGGAGTATGCATTAAAAGCATGAACTGGTGCAATTATATCTACTTAGGAGTATGAGTATAAACCATGATAGTTTCCCACACTTATCTTCCGTTCTGTGCTTCCATGTCTCCCTGTTAACAGGCAAGACTATCTAAATCAGCTTAGAAAGTTCCTTTAAACTTTTCAAGAAAGAAAGGCAAGTTCTAATAGGAATTATTTCTATTGAGTTATAATCCTGAGAATCAATAAGCTTTTCCTTATTTGTATCTAAATATCAGAAGGATTATTGTCTCTATCTTGTTGCTCTCTAAAGACAAGACAGCCTGTATACAATGTGCCTGTGCTTGGCCTTTTTTTTTCCCAAAAGCTGAATAACCTTTCTTTTTAGCCTTTTGCTAAATTGTCTATTTTCTATTCCATTACTCATGCAATTTTGTTTTATAAGCTCTTTCAATTTCCTATTACATAATGCCTTGACTACTGTAGGTGTTCAATAAACACTTGTTGATTTGAATTGAAATTACAGACCTCAAGGCTAAAAACAGTATCGCAGTTAATATTTAATCAAAACAAGTTTCACCTTTCAGAGACGTTAAATTGTATTTTGTCTTAAAAGTAACTGAACTGCAGTTATTTTTAATTTCACAAAACTTTTATTCCAGCCATTTTATGTTTCTTCACAGCATTCATTTGGTACACACAGAGGTTATATTAATTCTATTTTACAGATAAATACAACTTTGGCACACAGATTTCTGGGGCTTGCTCAGATCAGAATGTCATTGCTAACACTAAAACCAAACTGGGTGGGATAACCTCTAGTTCAGTTCTCAGTTTCTTGTGAGAGAGGCCCCTTTAGAATTACTCCACCTGCTGTGATGGAAGGAAGGATCAACATCTATAGAAAAGAAACGACTCTCAATGGGTCCAGTATAATATAAATTCATCCAAGCTGACAGGTGCGTGGGTAAAAAGCCTTCAAAACAGTTGCCAAGAATTTTCAATTATTATATCATCAATAAAACCACACAAGAAGACATGTACCTATAGTTGTGCTGTTTTCAGGGCGTGGAGCCAATCATTCCATTAAGAATTTTAAGTTGCCAGCCGTTTCGTGGCATTGTGGTGGTATGTGGTTAAGAGCTCCCTTTGGCAATCAATGCAAATGTCAATCAAATCTGTACCAGGACTCGCCATTTTACAAGAACTCATTGGTCTGTATGCAACTGTGGCTTCAACCAGCAAATACTCGTATTTTCTAATCTTGGTGAATCTACCTGGAGCTCTGGGTCAATTTTGCAAGGATTCGGTAAGTCTACATCAAAGAATCAGTTTTCTAAACAGACAAACAAAAACAAAAAAAAAAAAAGAAGAAGAAGACAAAGAAACAGGAATGAGAAGTTGGACATATCACAAAATTGCTGTAAGATAATAGAATATCCATTCATTCATTAATTTAACAAATACACACTGAGAACCTTCCAGACGACAGACTACTGGCAGTAATAAGCAGAAAAGACTAACTTTCTCCTCACAAGGAGCTTCTGATCTAGTGAAAGGGGACAGATGGTAAAGCAAAAAGAAGCAAAATTCATATAGTAATAGTACTTTGCAGAGCATTAAAGCAGAGCAATGTGCAGAGTGACTATGTGGTAAAGGCTCTCCCTGAGGAAGTGATGGAGGTGGAGATCTGAATAGCAAGAGAGACAAACCAAAAAAAAGAAACAATCCCACTGCCATAGAGTCGATTCTCACTCATAGCGACCCTATAGGACAGAGTAGAACTGCCCCACGGGGTTTCCAAAGCCTGTAATTCTTTTATGGAAGCAGACTACCAAATCTTTCTCCCAAGGAGTGGCTGGTGGGTTCGAACCACTGACCACATGATCTGTTTCCTTGTTAGCTCTACCCTCAAATTTTGTACTCCAGCTGCACTGCACCTGCCTTTTCTTTTGAGCTTGCCAAGACTACTACTCCTTCCAGAGCACTGTACCTGCCTACAGAATCTATTCCCCATTATCTGCATGTCTCATTTTCTCACCCTCTTTAGGTTCTTAATCAAATATTATCCTCTCAGTGAAACAAACCTTACCACTCTGTTCAAAATTACACCTCTATTCCCCACAAAACTACCTATGCTTCTTTCCTGCTTTATTTTTCTCCATAAAACTTATCACCATTTAACATCCTTGATTGCGCGGTGGTTAAGAGCTCAGCTGCTAACCAAAAGGTCGGCAGTTTGAATCCA